TAAACTCCAAACCCTAAAACCCCTAAACCCTAAACCCTAAACCCCTAACCCTAAACCCTAAACCCCTAAACCCTAAACCCTAAACCCTGAACCCTTTGCTGAGTTCGTGGCTCCGCCGCTGAAGTTTCCGGCAGCCGCGCGTGGGCGCCGGCAGGTGGCAGTTGATGCTTTGCCTCCTTTAAAGCACCCCCCAAGGGCCCCATAGTAGTTCCTTTTAAGGTTACCTTATAGGATTCTATATCTGAGCCCCAAAAAGGAACTACTTTAGGGCTTCCTCCTTTAAAGGACCCCGCAAGGGCCCTTTAGGGTTTAGGGAGTTTAGGGGTTTATGTAGGGCTTAGGGGTTAGGGGTTTAGGTTCCTATCCCCAAGGGTCCAAAGGACCCAATAAGTAGGTTTAAGGTTTAGGGTTTAGGGGTATAGGGTTTAGGTGTTTCAGGGTTTAGGGTTTAGGATTTAGGGTTAGGGTTCAGGGGTTTGGGGGTTTAGGGTTTAGGGTAACCTCAGGGTCCAAAGGACTCCATAATTAGGTACTTTGGTTACGGATAGTAGTTATCTAGGTAAATATTTGGGAGAGTATATGATTATTAGGTCTTTGGGCCCTTAGGGTTTGGATGGGTCCTTTCGGTTTAGGGTCTAGGGTTTATGTAGGGTTTAGGGGTTTAGGGGTTTAGGGGTTTAGGTTTTAGGGGTTTAGGGGTTTAGGGGTCTAGGGTATTAGGGTTTCATCAGGTTGCTGCAGTACATGTGGTTCATGTGTTTGACGGTATGTGGCCTTATGCATGCGGTTTCGTAGCATTGTTAAGAAGGCTTGGGTTGAGTTTTTGGATCCCCCCCCCCCCAGATCGAGAAGGCGCTCAGCTACAGCAGATTCCTTTCCGATAGGTTCCCCGAAGCCCTAAACCCTAGAAGCCCTCAAACCCCAAACTCCTGTCCGACAGGCAAAACATAAAACCCTAGAAGCCCTAAAAACCCTAAAAGCCCTCAACCCTAAACCCTGAAAGCCCTAAAAACCCTAAAAGCCTTTAAAGGCCTAAAAGCCCTAAAACCCTAGAAGCCCTAAAAGCCCTAAAAGCCCTAAAAACCCTAGAAGCCCTAAACCCCAAACTCTTTTCCCACAGGCTCGCAGAAGGCCAGTGACCGAGGAGAGCAGTCAAGCAAGCCCTGAACAGCCCGAAGCCCTGCCGTCGGTTGGGCTTAGGGTTTTAGGGTTCAGGGTTTCAGGGTTGCTGGTTTTAGGGTTTAGGGTTATAGGGTTGATAGGGTTCAGGGTTTTAGGGTTCAGGGTTTTAGGACTTTAGGGTTGTAGGGTTTAGGGTTTGGTTTTTTTTAGAAATTTTGGGGTTCTTCCCTAAACACTACCCTAAGCCACCATAACTAATGTGAGCTCGTGATTAGTAA